TACATCACCGTACGGCACGGACAGCACCACAGCCCAAACCCAGTCCTGGCTCAGAAGACCCCTCCTTTGTCAAAAGCCGGGTGTTTAGGGCACGCTGCCACCCAAAAGAACCCCTCGGTAATTAAACGTCCCCATAAATCACACAGCAAACCCCGCGGGAACTCCAAGGCAGCCTGACTTCTGTAGCGGCAGGAATGTCTCCAGGGAGCAGGACTCCCACACACTGCAATACTCGCAGTGCCCCTTCCAGCTTTTTTCCCACCCCCCAGCTCCCCGAGCTCTGCCTCTGAGCCCTGAGTTCACAGAAGTGCCTGATAAATAATAAATACTGCCTTTGTAGCACCATCCTTGCTCTGGGCTATATCCTACACACTCTCCATGCGTGAAGCTCCCTTTGAAGAGCAGGGACACGAGGATCTTGCAGGGTTGGGTTTTATTTCAGTGCATGGGTTCTTCAGCCTTGGGTGGGAGTTTGGCCTGAGTACATCCTGGAGGTCCCTGTCCTGTTCCTATGGGATATTTGTGGCTTTGGTGGAGGGAGAAAAGGATAGAAAGGTAGGAAAAAATGCTGCTTTGGTACAGGAGGTAGGGTTTTTTACGTGGTTCTAAGTGGTTTCTGGTTGTCATCCACCCAGGGCCTGGCATCACCAGTTTCAGCAGGTCTGCCCAGGCACCCCAGGATATCCCACCCACGGTTTTGTGCCTTTGGGTATCTTGGCAATCAATCCTACAATACTCAGCTTTAGGTCTCGTGTTGTTTCTGGCCATGGGGTGTCCTGGGGCAGGGTATGAACCTCAGCATAAGATTGCACAGCTCTCCTGCCATTCCCTTTCCCCCTTTCAGGCAGAGGAAGAGTTCCCAGCACTTGGGGACCTGTGTCACAGCACAGGGACAGCTCCGCCAGAGCAGCACCAAGCTGGAGGAAGGAGGTTGAAGGCCACCCTAGGTTTGGACCCATTTTTTTCCCCTGATCCTGCCCAGTCTCTCTGTGGAGGAAGGAGGTTGAAGGCCACCCTAGGTTTGGACCCATTTTTTTCCCCTGATCCTGCCGTGCTGTGGCAAGGAGTGTTTATGACCCCTCCTGCACCTCTGGCGCCCCCCGGGACCCCGGCAGCGCCCCCGGAGCTGCACCCACCAACAGGTTGCGGTGGAAACAAAGGCAGTTCTTGCTTCAGATCCTTCAGAGATAGCAATATGTCAGGAGCCCCTGGAGAGGCCGAAAGTAAATGAATCAGTGCTAGAAAGTGAAGGATATCATCCGTGCTGAATGGTG